TCCGGTACATGCAAACACAGCAACTTGCATTTGAAGACGGAGTTGATCATGGACATCAACTCCGCCCATGAACTTCTGGTAATCCTTCAGGATTCTTGGGCACGCTACTTCGGCTTGCTCACCCGATTTCTCTCTTCTTACCACGCGGTCTTGTTGAATGCTACCTCCAGCACTTAGCAGATGCACGGGACGGTTATCCATCCAACAGACAGCCGCGTCGCTCACGGCACTTTCCCGCTTGGGATCGATCACATCTTAGTTTGCCAGCGCCGTGGCTTCCATTTTTTTGCCGCCTTCCATCGATAGCCTACTGAAGACTATCGTGGCTGAAATCAACCGCCAACGCCAAGCGGCTATCGTCGATCATGGAGCGAATATATCGTTTCTTGAGGTCTTGCAGACAGAGGGCGTATAGCCTGAGCTCGACAAGTGCAGATTGGAGCTCTATCGACTCGTGTGCGCCAAGAAGATAGAGCAAAGCGACATTCTGATTCATCGAACGGTATCAAATTTATCGATTATTATGCTTTGCATGTATTTTGGCAAAACTGATTGCCAAAAGTCTGTTTACCATTGCGGTTTACAATTGAACATCTCGTAGTTAGCGTGTTACTCACGCAGACAATCTCTAAATTAGAGCTGACCAACTCAGTCTATGCTGCTGTTTTAGCTTCGGTAACCCCGAATTGCACATATCAAACTGCATTTCCGACTTTTCATGATTAACACAGCGTTCCCAAGACTTCAGCACTCATGACGTACTCTGCGGACTTTCGTTGGCGAGCTGTTTCACTTCTACACGACTACGGAATCGCCGTAGGGTTCATTAGCGACCTCTTTGAACCAAAGCCACGCACAATTTGAGCTACAGCAATATTTACAAGACGAACAAAACCCCAACAGGGACAAATGTGTCACTTTCGACTATCTGCCGGGCGATGCATTTTGATTTGGGTCTAACTAGAAAAGTCCTGACGAGGGCAGCCCGTGAAAGTGTTCCTCTTGAGGTGAGTTTGTTCAGCTTTTTGAAGATATAGTGATTTTGACATTAATATTTTGTTTTATTTTTATCGTTAGGTCGCTAACTATAAAGCTAAACTCCGCGCAATATACTCGCACCCGGAGCAGCTCATTTTCATTGACGAAACCTCCAAAGATGGTCGCCACGCGTACAGGAGGTACGGGTAGTCGGAGAGAAAAAGTAAGTGCGTTGTCAAGCTGCCTTTTTCACGTGGTCAGCGTCGTTTAATCTTCGCGGCCCTTGACCATCAAGGATTCGCATCTTGGGAGACTACAGCGGGGACATTTACGAGATCTTTGTTTCTTCGTGCTTTTGTTAAGAACGTTGTTCCTCTCCTAAATCCTTGGCCGTTGCCAAGATCCAGTGTTATTCTAGACAATGCAAAGATACACATGTATCACGAGCTTGAGGAAGTCTATTTCAGACAGGTGCTCGACTACTTTTTTTTTTGCCACCTTATTGCGCGGAACTGAATCCAATTGAGATTGGTTTCGGCGCGCTAAAAAGGTGGATCCAGAGGAACGCAAACCTCGTATTTCCACTTTATCCGGATGAAGTCTTAAGGGTTGGAATGAAGGCTTGTGTGGGGCGACAGCAAAACGGTGCTCTTGGCATTTATGGACATTGTGGATTTAACATTGACCAGCTTAGAGACAAACCATTTGATACTTTGACTAAAACAAACGAGTAAATGATATTGAGCATTTATATTTTTTCTTACTATTCTAAACTCGTTGACCAGTAATTCCCTCTCGATGGTCTTCATCTTCTAGGTCGTCTTCAGGTGGATCAACTGGAACAAAACCATGAAAAATTCCTTGAGTAAAAATATCATGTGCTGGTAAGCCCAGCGCCGATCGAAGTGAGGCTACTTCAACCCGAAAGCCGTTCCAGTTTCCAATAATCTCGAGTCTGATGGTAGCAATCTGTGGTATTGCATCTGCGTGGTGTGTCGTAGCCGTAGTTGCCATCGAAGCATCGAGCCATAGCCTGCCGCGTAGTGTTGTCCGGTAGTGTAAATTGCGTTATATTGGGCTGTCGAGCATGTGTAGTGGCAACGTGGTTCATTGTAATCTAGCCTAGAGTAATGTCATTCTCCTGGTGGTAGCGTTGCACTGCCACTGTCGCCTGCTGAATTATTGATGCCGTAGCTCGATGTATAGTAGGACGGTTATCGCGACCGCGACAGTAAACACAAAATTCAACCCTTAAAGTTTCGAAAACTTCTCCATTCCAAGCTTCTTTATCCTTACGAGAAACGCGCTTCACTCTTTGCGACAACAGCGCGACGAAATTGGCTTTTGTAATAACCTCGTACCGATGCTGGGGAGCACCTTTACTGGCTCGGAAGTAAATGTTATCGTCGTCAAGGCGAAGATTTTGAAAAGGACGTGTCTCCAAAAGACCAAGTATTTTGGCGCGAAGTACACCAAACCGATCGCCAACTATGAAATCAAAGTTCTTGGTTTTACCCTCGCGTGGGTTCCGTTCTATTCATCCTTTTCTTGCCGTCAGCGTTGCTCGCAATAAGGTAGTTTCAGGTAGTACAACCAGAGATGTTGGCCTATGTGACTGAAAGCACGTCAAAATGATGCTACTTCGGAGAGCCTTCTGATGGCCACGGCAAATCTAGCTTACCGACGGCTCCATGCTGCTATCTAATCCCTTTGAACTTCGGATGGACACCTCGAGCAGTTATTTTCTTTCAGGTGTAGCTAAATACCACAGTCAAACGCGCCAAAAATGCTAACAAATTGATAGTAGCGATGTCCAAATACCGTAAGACGGTATCACTCACGTCGTTGCTGTTTTACACGTTAATCCACCGGGTTTTACCTAGATATACACACAATATGAAGATTTGGATACGAAAAGACCACACTGAAAACCTTTTATGAGACGACAGCACGTACCTGGCCTGCTGCTCGTTCACGGGGGCCTAACGTAACTCAAGCGCATGCACATTCATACCATTAGAACGATCGTCAGTTCCTCTTAGTTGATACTTACACACAGCCCAGTATGGCCGCCGTTGACGGGGTCCAAACGCTTCACCACAGGCACTTTTCTTGGTCGTTACCTGAATGACAGTTTAGCTGGTGGCTGGGGCCGTCATTTTGAGATAAAAAGTCTAAATAAGATCAAGTCCGTTTTGCTAGAGCCGGTTTTACCTATCCAGCAATCTCTGTATTAGAAAGCTTAAATGGATCGCATTTCACATGCAAAGCACAATAAATCCAACGCCTACGCTGACAAAGGCCATGTCGTGGCCATCTACACCGCGCTGATCGACGAAACCCAGTGTTTGCAGTACCGGTCTTACCGTCTTACCCTGCATATAAGGCATATGTGTTCTAAATAAAATACGGGATTCGCTCGACATCTAGCTTAAACCTCAATTTGACCACCTACCTAATTAGAACACATGTGGCTGAAACCTACTTAAAACACAAGGCTGTACCAACCAATGAATATTCTTGAGAGCTCCAACCAACCACCCTTCTCAACAAAATTGTCGGTGCTGCTAATACTTGGCTTTAATTCTCTAATTTTATAATTTACACAGCCATGAGTGCTGAGCGACGTAGCTTTAGGTAAGTACTGTTGACAAGGACAATAAACTGGTGTTCAAATTCCCGTACACGGTTGAAAATCCTCTGAAAACGCTGTGCTTGGTTCGCTCCGGATCATATTTCGCAGTGAAAGTAGATGGATACATAATACTTAAGTATAATACACGTGATTACATGTACTGTAATCAGGGGTTAATGGTAACTCCAAAATCGGTGAAGTTAATATTGTGAAAATATCACCTGTAGACCAGTTAATATAAAAAATATCACCTAATATTTTCTTTTGAGACAATATGATATTATTAAATATCAACTTAATATTAGTTAATACGATATTATATTTTTCAATGATTGCGTAATCGGGCTACATTAACTAATCAGATGTCGTTAACGCTCGACTAGCTGAAGTATTACTAATCAACCGTGAGTACCGGGACAATTGTGAGTGACGGCAAGGTTGGCGTTGTGTGTTGGCACTGCTGAGCGCATTAATCTAGCGCCACAGGCAGCAGGTTTATTAGACGCACGATGTCGACGAGGAGATCGGAAGAGAACAAGAACAAATGTCTTGATTTCGCTCTATCAACGTTAAACAGCTGCAAGCGTTTGCAGTTTTCCATCTCGATCGCCTTTGTCTGTGTCACAGTGAAATACTAGAGCAAATACTCGTCAGTCTTAAAGCCTACTGCTTTTCTAGAACCTGATCGAAAAAGTTATTTGGCTCCGCTCGGTTCACAGAGGTAAGCTGGCAAGAAACGTACTTAAGTGGGAAAATATCATAAAATATCATGTAGTATCTAATATTTTTCAGTTCTCCGAGCTAATATAAAAATATTATGTTAGCTTTTGCAAAAATGAGTTACTATTAATATTTAATATCGAAAATAGTACTATTACTATCAAAAATATCATATGATATTTGGTTACCATTAGCCCCTGACTGTAATGCATTTGTGCAAACGATTCTTATAAAAAAAACAGTAATACATGTAGAATTCATAATATTAACAAGCAAAACCAGAAAAGACCTGCTACCAATCACAACATCATGTGAGTTGCAAGCAGGAGGCCACCCGATCGTCAAGCCTCAACAACCAAGCCAGATTCCAGGACCCATTCTTCAAAGTCAAACAATTTGATCGTTGTACAACACATAGGCTTTCTAAACGAATATAACACACAAGCAGTGTTGTATTCATTTACAGCACATATGCCTTATATGCGGGGAACGACGGTTTGCCAAGAAAAAAAGGCTTAACATGAGAAATAACCAGCCACGAAGCGTTTCGGTCAGGAGAAAGCCTCTAGCAAGAAAAAGCAAATTTATATCCCGAGTTTAGAAAGCGAGTCGCTCTGACCCAGAACTATAATACCACAGCAGTAATTCGCAGTGTGGAACAACTTGTCTATTTCTCTATCTTGTCTACTCTTTCGCTCTTCCCACGAATGTATTTGGACATGTACTCAGTCGCGCGGAATTTCTCGGACCACAAAATGCGCCCCATCCAGTTCTCCAGTCGTAATGCGTGTTTGTCCTGCATCAAGCGCTCAACGCGTTCCATCAAGCTATCAGCGTTGTTCGAACGATTGTAGGACGTTAAACACGTATTTACACCAGCACCTTGCGCAGCGCTCCATTTGGGTTTATCACTGTACAGACGCTGCATCTCGGTAGCAAAATCCTGAGGAACATTGGCAATCACACCTCCCCAAGGAACACTATCCAATGTCATACCCTCGGCGCCAATCGACGTGCTCACACATGGCGTCCCGACGAACCAACTGTCTGCAATTTTACCCTTGATACCTGCACCAAACCGTAGCGGCGCGATGCTCAGTCGATACTGGCTCAGCATCTCATGCGCATCAGGAGCAAAGCCCTTCATGAAGAAACCTTGTACGGGGTCCTCTAGCTTAGTAAAGCGCTTAGTCTCGCCGTAAGATCCATAGATGTGGATCTCCGCATCGCCTCCAATCCTGCGGAACAACGGGAGAATCGTCTTCTTGGTCCACTCGACTGCGTCGACATTGGGTGCATGTTTAAAGCTTCCAATAAAGGCGATATCCTTGCGATCCTGAAAAGGTCGTAGCTTTGAGGTCTCGATCTCTGGATAGAAAAAGTCACATCGATGCAGACTCACATCAGATATCTGGAACCGGGAGACCAGCAAGTCACGCTCGAATTCCGACACGTACAGCGTCAGATCGGAGCGGTGGATAGATGCCAATTCACGGATAGCAAGCTTCTCAACTGGATCAATGTTCAGCTGCGCTCCATCCAACGTATCTTCAAAGTTCACACCTTGTTTCTTCACTGCAAACTCTCGAGCACGGCGGATAAAGTGAACATCTTGCAGGTCCAGCACTCTTAGAGCTTCGGGTGCGTATTTCTTTGCTTGCCACCCGTACATTTCCTCTGCAATAAAACGATCAAACACCACGAGCTGGGGCATCGTTTCTAACAGTACCTTCTGGAACACGTCCGTGTTTGCGTCTGCCTGCATGCAGCGCACTCCTTGCTCCTCTTCCAGCCGTGTTGTGTGCCCATTCAGACGACTGGGAGATACACACAGCACCTGGAATCCTCGTTCTTGTAGCACACTGATAATGTCAGCACTGCGCACTCCAGCGGCAGAGCTCGTGCGTTCTGGCCACACTGATCCGGCTAGAATCACCTTCTTCTTGCTAGCAGCGAAGGCTGCGACACTGGCACTGTGTTGACTGTGGTGATACACTTTGTCCTTCTTTAAATGCACACCTGGTTGAGAAGGATACGAGTGTGCGACCTTACTCTCCAGAGCTTGGTACCACTCCGTCCCCATGTTGGCAGCAAGTCTCGCTTCCACGTCGAACGGACCTGGTAGTCCGTCCGGGAAGAACTGAAGTACCAGCTCCTGGAAATATGTGACGTGGTCCTCTCTCCTCTGCACGTTGGCGAGATGTTGGAACCACTTGATGCCACATCTGACATGGTCCCGTTCCTCAAAGACAATCTGCTCCACCACTTTGGCTGACTTCTTGTCCCCCATGGATTTAATCCGACTAACTAACCGATCTCCAGAGTCCAGTCCCCTTGCTTCTTGCACTAACGGCACTACCGCAATCCTCGCAACCAAGTCTGCTGCTGTATTAGCTGCGTGTTCCAATAACGCTCTAGTGGCCGGGAGGGCCCCGTAGTGGGAGCCTAATTCCCTCAGTCTGTCGTCTACCATAGCGAAATGTCGAGCTTCGTCACCTGCGACCTTCAGGAAATCGTCGTAGAACTCGCGAGGCAGCTGGTGTTTAATCGGGTCGAAGCGGACGATGGTGTCCCAGTAATTGTCGATTGCTCCTAATTCGATGTGCGCCAATGCGTGGAGCATGATAACGGGGATACTGGCTTGAGTCTGCAATTGCTTCATGCCGGGCATCTTTTTAGGGGGCAAGAGTTCGGGCTTGGGACCGCGAGCAGGGAGCGGCGGAGGGATGTGGGCTCCCCATTGAGACTCGCTGTAGATTGGAAGGTTCTCGGACAGCCAGCGGGTTTGGCACTCGGAAGTAAGCGAAACCTTCTCGTGTGGGTCTGGGCAGCGCAAGATGCGGGCGCCGTACGCGAGTAGGGAGTCGGAGGAGGCGCACGAAGAGAACGATCGCCAGCGACCACTTATGTCCAGTCGCGTTCGACGCAACATTTGTTGTAGTTTGTATCTACTGAATTATGGTAAGTTTAAATGGTGTTTTCTTATCAAACAGTTATAAATTATCATAATTCAGGCTACAATACAGGTACTCACCCGCTGTTAGGACGCCGTCCATTTTTAAAGCCCCGGCAGTTTTACATGTGCTGCATCGTTTTCCGACGAAACAAACGAAATTCATAGACACTGCAGACACACGTATTATGTATTTCATTTTTTTAGGGCTCATGTTATCCAAGCATTTATAAAACGGCCTTTACTTCTGGTGGTTCACGAAACGAAGAGCCAGGAGAGATACGACACGCAGGCATGCGATCCACAGCATGATAAAGCCAAAGTTCGACCAGATTTCGCTGCGTTTAGCCGAGAAGATCTCGTCCAAGTAGTCAGATACCGTAATTTCGTTTCCAAGTGTCGGAGGTGCCCCCGTCATTTGCTGACAGCCGAGTTGGCTACCATCACCAGAACTCGGGCAGTCACCAAACACGATCGTAATTAGACTCGCAAACGTGTACTTGTGTGGATTAAGATGGTAGAGCCATCGATAACCACGGGGAATGGACGCTACTGGTGGATTAAACCCCGTAAAGGTGATCCAGACGTAGTTGACGAGGATGACGAAGACCGAAGCGACTTCCAGGTTTGGACACAAGTACGCGAGTAGTTGTCCAAAATACGCTTGAAGGATCACGAGGCCAGTCAAGTTGACCCAATACGCCATGAAATGTCCCACTCCAGTGAAGCCAACCATCGGGTAGTAGATGACCATGAACAAGAGTGATTCAACGAAGCAGTACGGGATCTCGACTATCGTAGCGCCGATGAAGTACCAGAACGCGTTGTACGTCTGAGCCGAGCGTTCGCGGTAAAATGAGGCTCGTTCTTGGATCGAGATTGGTACCACACTGCTGAACACAATGAACGTCATGTACGATTGCGTCATGAACACCATGCCAAGCCCCGAGTTGATTCCCTGGTACGAAGAGTATTCCGCACCCACGTAGGCAATTCCAAACACCAGTCCGAGCATAATCGAGATGAGAAAACGCGTCAAGTTGTACGATGCGGTTCTCCAGTACATGTCGAAGAAGCGCCTGATAAGGAACTTCGCTTGGATAAAATTCCCAGCTGCACGTTTTTGATCAAATACCAAAGGAGGAACTGATACTGACGGACGAGTGATTCCCTCTTGGTCGAGGTTAGCAGCAAGTAACTGGGCCTGAACGCTCGCCTTGAAAGTCCCCACAAAGTCTGTTGTATCACCACTGTCGTTGCCCACACCAGCACCGATGACCTCCAACATCCAGGTCGCTGGGTTGTAGTCTTTCTCCAGCTTTGCCACACCTTCGATCGACTCGAAATAATTAATCAAACTGGAGGCTTTCTCTCCTAAATCACCGAAAAACACCATCTCACCGCCACGTTTAAGTAGCAACAAACTGTCGAATACGCTGAACACCACTGCCGAAGGTTGGTGGATCATCGTTCTTCCCGTGTCTGCCACCTTGCGTACACCGTCCATGATGAGCTTGGCGGAGCGAGCATCAAGTCCACTTGTCGGCTCGTCCAGGAACAGCACACTGGGCTGGGCTGCCAACTGCACACCGATAGTCAGTCGTTTCATCTGCTCTGTGGAGCTGCCTCGGATGATCTGGTCAGCGATGGGGTGGAGGTCAAGCAACTCGAGACATTCATTCACGGAGTCGTATTTCTGGGCATCTGGCACCTCAGCACCTTGACGCAGGAAGGCACCAAACGTAAGTGCCTCACGGAATGTAGACGCCTCCGAATGGATGTCCATCTGCTCGCAATAACCAGTGGCTCGACGGATAGCAAGATCGGTAGCTGGGTATCCGTTTAGCAGGATGTCTCCACGGGTCTGTCCACCCGTCGTCCTGCCAGCAATAACATCCATAAGCGTGGTCTTACCGGCACCTGAAGAACCCATCAGAACAGTGATAGTGCCTGGGAGTGCGAACCCGCTCACACCCTTGAGGAGATCGATACTCGCTTTCGAGTTGCTGGATCTGGTACAGAATACCACAAATCCTTGAAAGCCAACGTCACCTGCACAAAGTTTCTCTCTGCAGAACGCGTGACTGAAACCTTCATATCGTGTTCGCGGGGGGTGATTGCAACCTTAGGAGTAATGGCGAGTGCGTAGTTGTCTCCCAATGAAGCTGCAAGTAGTGGGTCATGGAACATTACGCCGGCAGTTTTTTTACTTTCCGTAATTTACCAGCGAGACCAGTCCTGGAACGTTCTTTCGAGGCAGCTGCTATTTTGACGACGAGAGCGAAAGCAACGTCTTTTCGATCTTAGGGTAGTTTCCGACCACTGAACAGGTTTTGTCTGAATTTCAGAATTATATATTTTTCTCAAAAAAATTTTAAGACCCTATGTATATAGAATACACATAACTAATAACATGTCGAACGAACTAACTTTTGGAAAATACAAGGGCACACCGATCGAAGAAGTATATGCTTCTGATCCCGGGTATTGTCGATGGATGCACAACCAACCCAGTCTCAATATTACTGAGAATATCAAGATTTTCCTTCACTCCGAGTTTCTTAGCAATGATAATTCGTATATGATGAGTTGGGACAAGTTCAAGGGGAAAACGCTTAAGCAGATCAGTCGTATGGACCCTAATTACATTGATTGGCTTCGAAAGAGTGAATTCGTTATTGAAAAGTGTCCTAAGCTACTCCAGGAACTTAATTAAGCGATTAAAGTTTTTTTTGTTCAATGAAATGGTATCGAGAACCTACGCGGTTGAGAATTCTAAAATTTCGCCTGTGAGGCGATCATAGCTTAGTTCCTGCTCGCTTACAACCAATACAAGCATGTTTGTTCCCTGGCAACCAGCGTTTGTGCCTTGGATCTGAATGGCCTGCGGAACATCACGTTCGGTTAGACGACTTACATCAGCAATCAGGACACGGTTCGTTAGCGACCAAGTCTGATAGTCAAGAAGTCCATTCACGAGCTCAGGGGTCAGATCACCATTAATCGAGCCAATTTTAGCGCCCTCATTAGTGAACTGATGGAAGTCATAATCATGGCTGATATCAAAGCACTGAATCGAACCGATACGGACATTGAAGTTGCGAATGCGCGAACCAGGCTGAAGAGTCCAAGGAGCGCTATCAAATGGACTCTGAAATTGCTGAACAGCAGCAGTGGCAAAGTTTCCAGTTTGCTCGGCAAAGGGGAGAAGGATAACATACTTCGCATTCTTGACAGACGGATAGCTGTAGATCGAAAGAAGCATTAAGCTGAGTCGATTGCTTGCCAATACCTGCGCGCTGGTAAAACCACTGTGCATAACAGTCGTTATAGCGGACCTTTTTTACTGGATTCGAGATGATAGCCTGAGGGTTCTCCAAATAAACAAACGGAACATACAGTCTAGAAGTCGTGAAAGGCATGTACGTACCATCAATTGTAGGCTCAAGCGCATTGACGACAGCACCCCAAGAAAGAGCAATGGATCCAGTACCACTAAGAACACTGTACATAGGGGCTGGAGAAGTCGCAGAAGCAACCAGTACTGGACAGGTATTACCACTTGATAGAGTAGTACTCGATAACGTCATTCTAGTAGAACTATCAATATCAATAGCAGCAGTACCCTGATTAACGCGAAAACGAAGACGGATTTGAGGGTTAGCCATAAGATCAAGCTCTTTGAAGATCGGATGTAAATCAACGAGTTTGATTTTGAGCATGTAATTTCATGTACCCATAATAGCACCAGCTGTACCAGCACCTACTACGAACGCACCACGTCCAAGCTGATTAGCAATGGTAGTGGTAGCAGATGCGCCACCCGTAGACGGCCATGTATTAGATGAGTCAGCGCCAGCGTTTGGTGGATTTGAAAGAAGGCGTTTAGCAAAAGCATCATTTGCTACCGAAGCCGTAGCAGAGATAATCCCGGCGTTAAAGGTCGTTGAAATTGGCATATTATTCGAATACCCGTCTCCATTGGGAGAGGGATTGGAAGAACCACTGTACTTGGTTGATTGAGCAGCATCCGGATACAGGAAAGATTCAGCATCATGCTTTTCAACATACTGAGGACTATATCCAGTCTGAGCACGAATATTGTTCCAGAAAAGCTTATAGTCAGCCATAGAAACAATAGTCTTACCATTTAGCTCCAAGGACATCGAATGGATGACGTTCCAGTTTCCACACTTCAGCGAAACGCAAAAACGGTTAGCTGCAGCCGTAGCAAGAGTAGCATGAGTGTTTTTCATCGATACCTTGTATGGTAGCATAATGTAGGCATCGCGAAGCGAAGCAAATCCTTCACTTCCATTAAGCTGGGATGTAGCATCGATAGTAATAACACCGTTTTGGTATGAGCCCTGGTTAAGATCGATAACGAAAGGCACGTGCTTGCCAGAGGAGACTTTAATCTCCAGATCACTCTTGAGCGAGCTCTGGTAAAGATATTGGTCGGAAAGTTGTGTTTCAGACATCGTTGAGATTCTATATGGCATGTAATATATTTTATCAAAAATAATTATTATGGAACTCGTCAAGCCTATTACATCCGATCATGATCTAATTGAACTTGCCAAGCGTATTAAGGTTCATCTCGATGCTATCTTTGAGTCAAATGAGATCACAAAGCCGCTTCCGAAGAAAGGATCATATCTGGTTCTACTTAGATCGCCTAATCTCGATGTAGGACACTGACAGGCTGTTCATGATGGAGAATTCTTTGATTCAATGGGGGAAGCGGCACCTACGAAGTATGGCATCAGGCGATACAATCCCAAACAATATCAAGGCACTTATGGCGATTATTGTGGTCCGTTTTGCATGCTATGGCTATATTGCAAACAAAAAAATAAGATGAATCTATTGAATCGATTCAAAGATCTGAATTTGTCAATTCTGTATTAAATATGTTTCAGGAAATATAGCAATAATGTATCGCGAATTGACGATTTCCAGCGATGTTCCAGCTCCCAAGCTGAATAAAGCCCTCAAGACAGGTAAGCTAAGTCTTACAGCTGATCAACTCAAGGGTTCAGGCTCTGTTATCCATCTCCACCCAGCTTCGTATGAGAAAGCACTAAAAGCACGCAAGGCGGGTCGTGGGGTTAGACTTGACATTACCAAGCATGAGATCAAGAAAGGCTTCAAGAAGCTCCAAGGAGGATCCATTTGGAGTAAAATCAAATCAGGGTTATCGACAGCATTCAAATTCGTAAAAGATAGTGGTTTGCTGAGTAAGGGTCTGGATGCGGCAGTGCCTGCTATTGCTACAGCGTTTGGAGCCCCTCAAGCAGGAATCCCCGCAAGGGCGGCTATTAGGTCATTGACAGGAGTTGGAGTATACGACTCTGACAGCGATACCCCGGTAGAGTCTCAAGACTTTGCCTACGTCCGAGCCTTGCTCGATGTAGAGAAAGAAGGTGGTCGTATTTCGGTAGCGGATGTTAAGAAGGCGGCGAAAAATGCTCTCGGGTATGCTAAACGTAAGGGGATTCTAACTGATGCAGTCGATGCAGGCGAGAAGTTTCTACTATCAAAAGCAACCAAGCCAGAGCATGAGAACCTGATCAAATCGGTTCGAGGTGAGGTAAAGAGACGCTATGGTGTAGGAGTCCCTAAGAAACCAGCTAAAGGTTCGCCCGAAATGAAGGCTAAGATGGCTGCACTCCGTGCTAAACGTAAGAAAGCAATGATTGCTGGCTCTTTTCGATTAAATTAGTTGCACCCTATTCTGCGGATTGTGAGAAAAAAAACCATTTTGAATGCTTTTTTTCCCTCAGCAACAACATGATCGAGACAGAAGTATCACGGAGCTTAACCTTTTGATCGTTTTGGTTATAGATACTGATCGTAATAGACGTTCTCAGCGCCATTATGACAGCTCATCCAAGCATACTGACTCGGCTTATAGCTGATTAATTGACCTACCTGAGCATCACCACGGTCAAACACACTAAGGATATCACCAGAGGCAACATACTCGTTTTTGATCAGGTCGCATCGAACGATTTAGCTCGAGGTTGGGTGAATCTGAGGAATGGTATTTGACAGCTGAGCACTTGAAACCGTTGCAGACGCTGAAGGATACGTACCAGCAGTCAATCCTACTACTTTACCAAAAGAGGCGTTATCAATGATGATGCGAGGGACACGCGTTGTTGTTGGCAAACCAGTACCGCCTGACGAATAAAGCCCACTTGCTGGTCGTGTCCAAGTGCCACCAGCTGTAGGAAGTGTCGTTGGAGTAGCGCTAAAATCGAATTGAGCAGCATAATACACACTGTTTTCCGTTAGTTGAATATAGAAAACGTTCTCACCAGATGGATTAATTAAATACGCTCCAGCATTTACGAGGGCCGTCTGAATGCTTCTAATAATATCGGTATAGCTGTAAAGTCCATCAGGGAGGATAACAGATACAGTGGATGTGGTTCCAGCTGTCGGAACCTCGGTTTTGAAGGGTTATTCAGGAACTGAGTTGCATCGATGTTGTATTCAGAGTTATACATCGAAATCGATAACCGCGCATACCACATCCTGAAAATTGGCAGCACTACCAGGAAAGCTGTATTTCCATGTGCTGTTATAATTGTTTTGAACGAGGTTAGTGGAATCGAGTTTAACAAAACTTGCCATGGTATATGTATATTGGATCACTCAAAAAAATATTCTTAAGTTATTGCTCAATATCTATCGGTCGATCAAAGTTGTATCTGATTTGACCTTTGACTGAATCCACGAACAGCATCTGTCCTTTGCGCTCCGTGGCTTTATTATAGTAATAGACGATTGATCGTTCATCAACGCCTTTGATGCTAAATCCTTTACAACCATCTGTAAATCACGCTTCGAATTCGCTTTTACAATCGCTACGTACTCTGAATTCAACCGAATCATCTTATCAGTGACAAAGTAGCTGTGCCTTAGGAATATGGTTGAGAGTTTAAAGTGTCGCCCACGTGTATAGTAATGAGAGAAGATATTCTTCTGAAGTAGTTTATCATTGCTATAGTCATCGATGATTACAAGCTCCGGTTTGTTAGAGCTTAATGGAGTATGACGCACCTGATCTACTTTAGGAGGGCTATCTGGGTCAGCAAATGTGATGAATCCCTCCAACTTTTCCCGGAGATACTCATAAAGCTCCTGATGGGGATTACGAGCAATGATAGTTAGATGAGCAAATACGTGAGGAGAATGCTTGAGAATAAACATACAAAGATTGTTCTTTCCTGAAAAGCTTGGACCGAGCACAACCATTCTAAACGAAGCTTTCATATCCAATGCGGGGATATCACCCATCGAAGCAGACTTGAATTTTTTCGGAATCGAAGCCCCGAAGTCAGGAATAGCACTCATGACTAAAATCGTTTGATCTATATAGGATTAAACAAAATGAGTTCCGGTTTCTCATATCCACAGCCTACATTTCAATCATCCATTTATAATCCTTCATTCTATCTTTCGTTAGACTCGAGTGGTTATCTAACATACGATTATGCGCAGACACTATATTTGAGCAAGGATGATTACAGGATGGGCTACCTTAGCGGAGTAATAGCGGGAACTGCTTCGTACAGCAAAACTTTGATTCTCGATTCGTCCGGCAATATCAGCGGAATTTATAGCTTTGGAGCTTCTACTATTACTGGAACGCTACAAACCGGATCCCAACCAAATATAACGTCTCTCGGCTCTTTATCAGGTCTTACGATCGGTGGAAATTTATCGTTCAGTGGGTCATCGCGCTCGATATCGATAACAGGCACTTCAAGCTACATCGATTGTCGAGAATATCGCCAGAACGGGACTATATACGATTTGGGCCTTCTTGAATACATAAACGGAGTTAGTTTTGGTACCGCAACGCCAAATAAATTCCTATTATGCGACTCAAGCTTGAATATCGGAGGCCTAAGTTCGGTAACGGCTACTACTCTGACCTGCACGAACTTGCGCCAGGGCTCGACGTATTATGACCTATCAAGCTTTTTAACATCTATTCCGACTTCCCTCTCGCTCAATAATCTGTCAACGAGTGGGGATATCAGCTGCTCCGGCGTTATCAATGGGTTTTTAGCGTATGGAAACCAATCAGCTATAACAACAGTAGGATCGCTGACAGAGCTTGGGGTCAACTCTACAGCAACGAATGAATATTTCTCGATTACTGGTAGTGGATTGGACTTTCTTGATGGTTCTTACACACGAATGATGACTCTAACCGGGTCGAATACGACTCCTGTTCAATTCCAGATCCAAGTCCATAATGGCAATCGATCAACCACAGGGAACGCGTCATGGATCGGGAACATCACAAACAACGACCTCAGATTTGGGGTCAATAACTCGACGTCGATGATTCTAACTACCACAGGTCGTCTTGGTCTTGGTACTACAAGTCCTTCAGCTCCGCTGCACGTCCCTGGCAGCAACAGTTTTGTATTTGGAGCAGGCGGAACGACAGTGTATCGCCTCAGAACAGATAGTGGAGCTACAGAATCCGCTCTTGGCCCGATCACATATTCAGTAGCGGGTATATTCGGAGGATACATTGCCTGTACAGCCATGGCGATGACGTCGGATCGACGCCTTAAAAAGAATATTCAATCATGCCCAATTGATCGTGTGAAGCGGCTCTACGATAGCTGTGAGGTCAAGCTTTATGACTGGATCGAGTCGGAAAACAAGCCTGGACAAGAAATCGGTCTCATAGCTTAGGATTTGGTCTCAGCCCATCTTACTGATTTGATATCGATCTTTTACAGAGATGATATTGAAGGGGGAGAAGACCCAAGCCTTGAACCAGCTAAGCAACAGCTCAACGTTGATTACAGTCGAATATCGGCTTATAATATGAAGATGATTCAGCATCTTTTGGGTGAGATAGATAGATTAAAAGATCGTTTGGCTAATATAGAGTCATGAGGATTGAGCGCTGGGAGCTAAGACCTTTGAAGAGCAAGAAGTATCGAGTATGGGTACGTCTTGATACGGGAAAGTTGCGCAAGGTTGATTTCGGGGCTCGTGGATACGCCCAATATCGGGATCAAACGCCTCTGAAGGCTTTTAGTCATCTTGATTCATAATGATGAGGAGAGACGTCATCGATACTACCTTAGACACAAAGTTGATTACCCAGAACCATCAGCGGATTTCTATGCTAAGAAGTTTCTTTGGTAATAATATACAAGAAATGTGTAACGGGGTTACATGGTGTGGAACACACAGGGGTACGAAGTACCCGGAGAGATAACAAACTCTCAGTACATAAGTTGGAGAGTTAACAAGGTCTCTCAGTACGTTGGCCGAAAGCCACACGTTATGCATTTGATTAGGTTTAACTATGCTAGATAGTTAAACAGATACATTTACCCTTAGGCGGCTTGGCCGCAATAATAGTAAATAAACACTTCTGGTTTTGAAGCATAAAAGTTAAGGTGTTAACTTTGAGCCCTGGTCTTGGGCTGTAAGTGTCCTTTGGATAAGGAACTTAGTATTAGTGACTCTTTGAGTCGAACGTCTTCCTCTGACGCTAAAGCTACAGCAGTGGTAGCACTTGTAGTCAATCCCGCTCCTGAGTCGGCTGACTATATCCTCTGCGAGGATGGAACACTCCGTGTTCGCGAATTCGCCCCCGGCGCAGCAGGACGCGCTTACTAAGCTTATGTCCTTGCTTGGCCCGGAGGGCGTGGCTCATCTTGCATCGCAAGGTCCAGAGGCGGTCACTGCCAGGCTGGAATCGTTCTCCCGCTACGAGAACGCGCTCTTGGAGCATGTCCAAGAGAAGATGAGCGCCGCAACGGCGGCGGCGTCGATGACGCGTGAAGAGTCTATGAGACTGAAACCGCTCATGGTGAGCGTAAAAACCTTCGAGGGGACGGATGGAGAGAATCTCCTTCTCTGGACCCGTGAGGTCGAGATGGCCATGGGATCGGTTCTGCTCCAGTCTGAGCATCAGCGCGTGGCGCTGGCTATCTCCAGGCTTGGAGGTCGCGCTCGCGAATGGGCACTAACGTGCGGCACGTCTGTTGACGCTGCATTTCCCACTTGGGATCAGCTGAAGCAACAGCTTTCGCGCGTGTTCGCGCCGCCTAATCAGGCGTACCGTATCCGGTCAAAGTTCCTTGCCACCCGCCAGGGCAAGAAGAATTTATTGGACTATGTCCAAGAGTTGAGAACTCTTATCGCTGGAATGGCGGCGGACCCTCTTCCGGAACTGGTCAGCGTGACCGTGTTCATGGAGGGACTTCGTGTGAGCGCAGCTCGAGCGGAAGTGTTCCGTGTACACCCTAACTCTTTTGAAGAGGCGGTGGATGTGGCATTGAATGCCGAGCACAACTTCAGGTCGGCGCGACCTGGTTGGAGCGCTGGTAGCGCAAGCTCTTCGAGCGGTCCAGAGCCGATGGACCTCAGCTATGCTGGAGATGAAGAAGCGGAGCTTCTTGTTGCGGAGCAGCGCGCCGGCATCCGCCGATGCTTTGTGTGCAATAGCACTAAGCACTTGAGGGCCTATTGCCCCCTGCGCAAGAAGCGCGAGGCTCCGGCGAGCCAAACCCTCCGGGTCATCGCCGGGAAACGGCAACTCCCAGTAGGCGCGGGGCGGCCTACTGGGGAAGAACTGAGCTCTGTTGTGCCTCGAAGAGGTAGAGGGCAACGGGGCTCAGCCCCGAAGAGAGCTGATCTCTCTTACGAGAAGAGTGTGTGCAAGCCGGGCTTGCTGGTCGTTCAAGCAAACGTGAAGGGCTTTGTAAAGCCATGGAGAGTCTTGATTGACTCGGGAGCCTCGGGCAACTACGCCCGTCGCTCCACCCTAGAAGGGAGTCAGCTGTATGCTGAAGCACTGGAAGTGCCAACGAGAGATACGATCTCTGTCCGTCTCGCGACGGGGACACTGGTAACTGTGTCGAAGGTCTCTGTCGACCTTGGAGTTAAGTTTGAGAACTTCGATAGCGTGGAACGCTGTTTGGTCTTAGACCTGGATGCGAGGTATGACCTCATCCTTGGCATGGCATGGCTGGAACGCCATGAGCCATGGATCGACTGGAAGTCGAAAACGCTGGGTGCGTCGCACCCTGCTCCTAGTGGAGCTTTGGTGAGTCATGAACCCACCTCTGCTAGGAAGCAGAAGCGCTTTTGGCGCGAGCACGAGGCCGAGGCGGCCGTAGTGCTGGACATTGGTATGTCCGAAATTGTTAGCAACGAGGTTGCTGTTTGCCCTGAGGGCGTACGTGGTGCGGCACGTTATCCGCTGAGCGGTGCAGGTCAGGTCAATGACCAACTGCTGGGTCCTGGTGAGGACGAGCGCGGAGTGGCGCGTAATCCACTGAGTGGTACGAATCTGGTCGATGACCTACCGCTGCGTGACCCGAGGGTCGCGGTCGACTGCGAGTCGAGGCATCATGGGCGTGGCCCAGGAGATGCAGGTGAAGTGACACCTAGCTCAGTGTGTGAAGGTCGAGGACCTCTTGGCTTTCAGCCGTGTGTCTTGCGAGACACTGTATCCTCTTCGAGGAGTGATGGTGCTGCTGCACCCGGCGGTGGTGACAGAGATGTCGCCACACCGCCCTCTTCCGGCCGGGCTCGGTCGCGGAGGGAGAGGAGAAGAAGACGCAGGGCGTCTGTGACGTCTTCGACGTCGGACGATGTGTCCAACGTGACGAGCGGTGATGCTCCACGTGATTGCTGTGAACAGCTGTATACACTCGTGAACGGAGTGACGGGGGAGGTAGAAGGCGATATCAGCCTTGACACTCTGCCCGCTGCAGATGCTCTGCTAGAGCTGGACGATATGTCCATTGCCGAGTTTGTCGAAGCCTTGAAGACAGGCGAACTAGCCGAGGTGGTCCTGCTGGGACCTGAGGAGGAGTTGAACTCCTCATCCGTCGTGGACGACGCGGTCCTAGAGGACACCAAGAAGGCGCTGAGCGCAAGAAGTGGATCGGCGATCCTCAAAGATCCTTCGGATCCCTTCTACCCGGTGGTGAAGGAGTATGAAGACGTTGTCTCGAAAGACCCACCGACGGGCCTGCCTCCGGATCGAGGCGTGTGTCATGAGATTGACCTGGTTCCTGGAACCAAATACTGCGTAACAAGGCAATGGCCTTTGCCGAGAGAGCAGTGTGACGTCAATGACGCATTCTTCCGTGCGAAGCACGAGGCAGGGATGGTGCGTGAGAGTAAGTCTCCGCACTCGACACCCACGTTCTGTGTCAGAAAGCCGAACGGCAAGTGGCGCATTGTTCATGCTTTTAACAAGCTAAATGCGGCCACTATCCCGGCGCAAACGCCGATTCCTCGCAAGGATGTTCTGCAGAACAACATGGTAGGCTGTACGCTGTACAGCGCGCTCGACTTGGTCGATGGCTACTACCAATTGCTCATGAGAGCGAGCGACATTCCGCTGACAGCGGTGAGTACTCCGAGCGGTATGCTCTGGGAGTGGCTGGTGATGCCCCAGGGGCTGTCAAACGCACCAGCAACGTTCAATCGTCTTGTGACGCAGCTGTTTAGGCCCCACCGGGCGTACGCTCAAACGTACTTTGACGATATATTCGTCCATAGTCGTGCCGAGCACGGAAAGTCAGACGTGGATAACCACATTGACCACTTGCGAGCGGTGCTCGAGTGCATGCGCACTAATAAGTTGTATGCCAACTTGGACAAGTGCGTCTTTGGCGCGAAGGAGATACCTTTCCTCGGGTGCTTCATTGGGAAGCGTGGCTTACGGGCAGATCCTGCCAAAGTCAAGGCCATCGTGGACTGGCCGGTTCCCAAGAACCAAAAAGACTTACGCAAGTGGCTAGGCTTAGCCAATTACTTGCACAAGTACAGCGCGAACTACGCGGAGATGGCTCGGCCATTATCACATCTCCTTAAGAAGGACGCACCATGGTGCTGGAACGTCGAGCACGACGGAGCCTTTGAGGCTGTGAAGGAGAGCCTCCTCCAGGCTCCGATCCTTGCGCTACCGGACCCGGATAGTCCGTTTAGCGTCGTCTGTGACGCCTCCGATTTTGCAATCGGTTGTGCTTTACTACAAGCAGACGCCGAAGGGCGTGAACGCGTGATCGCGTTTGAGTCTCGCCAGCTCAAAGCTGCAGAGAAGAACTATCCAGTTCATGACAAAGAGCTACCTGCAATGAAGTATGCTCTAGTCAAATTCAGGGTACACCTGCTAGGCTCTAAGCCTTTTGTGATCTTTACTGATCATGCGTCGTTACGCACTGCGACACAGTCGCCTCATCTCTCTCAGAGAATGGCAAGATGGCTTTCCTTTTTTGCCGAGTATAACTTCGAGGTGAAGTACAAGCCGAGGCGGCTTAATGTAGTGGCCGATGCGCTCTCGCGCAGGCCGGAGTACGAGCTAGCTCATGTCACGACAGTGACGTCGTCAGTGCCTGACTTGATACGCGGCGCGTATGCACAAGACGACATGTGCGTAGCGCTGCTACGGGCTCTTGGGAGCGAAGAGTTTAAAGTCTCTGACAAGGAATTGTCTAGGCTGCATCGATACTCACTCGATGGCGGCCTGCTGTACTACAGCACCGACTCTGAGGATAACCCTCGTGTAGTCGTTCCTCATGATGAGGATCTAAAGTATCGAATCCTCTACGAGGTTCATGATACGCCCGTGGGCGGGCACTTAGGTCGGGAGAAGACCTATGGCTCGGTGAGCTCGATGTACTGGTGGCCCAAGATGTATAAGTGGGTCGGCACCTATGTACGCACGTGTGAGACGTGTCAACGGACAAAGTCCGCGCCGAGCACGGCAGCGCCATTGGCGAGTTTGCCTGTCCCCAAGGGATGCTGGCAGTCCATGAGTATGGACTTTGTGTTTGGCCTTCCCAAGGATAAGGC